TCGAATTAAATGCTTCTTTGGTACCGCATCGGTAGTAAAACCATACCATTGTTCTGCGTACATCTGGCGAGACACAATACCAAATTGTTAACTCGGGTACCAGGAAAGCTAGAAAGCTGAAGTTTTGGGGAATGTTCCCTATCCACGTACAACTTAAATATTTCAAATTCAGCCCCAAACTATGCATGATACTCACGTAAGATCGTCTTCACTCTCTGGGAGAGACGGAGGCGTTCGGAATTGGCCCGAGTGATAGTATTTGCCAATAGCAACCGGTAGCTGGCAAGGCTGTCGATGACTGCCCGATCTTTACAAGCAAGCTGATGGCTTTAATCATTTCAATGTATGAAAAATGGAGATTAAAAATGGATTTTTAAGGTTGACGCGGAATCGTTTCCGTGTAATTGCACTGCTTCAACGTGCGCAAATCCGTTTGGCCGTCGTGAATTCGATGCACGTCATGTTCGTTCACATCTTCACTCAACTCTGATGCGTTTGAGAGATGCTCAGATTCGTAATGTAAACCTTACTTAATCTCATATGATTTCTTTTTTTTTTCTCAAAATAAGGGTTTTTTAGTATCAAGACCGTCCGGGGCATCAGTTTGGGTGTTCCATTTTAGTACTGCACTAACACGTCGGATGCAGCTTTGCCAAGCTCTCTGATCTCGAACTGCATACCTCCAGTTAGTACCCATCACCACGTGCGCACCACTTCGGTGGCCACCCGAATGTTCATTTACTTTTTCGCGAATATCACTCATTAGTGCATAAAGTAGAGCAGTTCTCAACATGGCGAGCAGTATGCCCTTTGTCCATTCGATTTTTATGCGTTTTTGCATATATATGCAAGTGCAAGTGAACATATTGATAAAAGATTGATTGCCTGTGTGTGTGTGTGTGCTCGAGTTTTTTGTCACTCATTTTCAAGCGAGAAGCAAAGAAGCTACAAAACTGAAATCGTTGGAGTATGTGCTTACCTTAAATGCGACCTTCTTGTTTTGATACTATCACTCACATCCACTTGGATCTCGCGTACGGACGTCTGAAAGAAGTTTTTTGGCGGGAAAACGATTTCGAGAACCGGACAAGCTAGGAAGTTGAAATTTTACAGGAATGTCCTATGTCTCTGTGTGAACCGGAGATTTCAAATCCAGGTTTAATGTATTCCTAAGCCTCGTGCTAGCGCAAGTGAAATTTAATTCGGAGCACTGTTAACACCCTATTAACTCGTTATTTAAACCGAGCAGAAAGCAGTATTTTTCTGAGGATGTTTGCTATTCATGTGTGGGCCAGCAAACGTAAGATGAGCTTCTGCCCAGGCACAGGCCTTGTTTATAAGTGGATCGAATTCTCTAATTCTGTAACTTAGTACAGACAATCTGTGTATAGGATGAAATCGTGCAAAATCTTCAGTTTAACAGTATCATGTAATTTAACAACTCCTAATCGGCCTCATTCTGGTCCAGGTGTGTCAGTGTTTGGGATTGGAGCTCATAACAGTGACATCTCGAAATGGCTTAATTCTTGCCAGTGCCTTTTTTGAGAGAATCGTCAAGCTGGTAATCCCTTCAGGTGACAAAATGCATGTCATGATCAGCAGCACAGAATGACAGCTGAATTTAGTTAACGTTATATTGTTTTTTCAGATTGAACCTTCACCGGTGCACATCCGCTTTGCTGAGCAGTAATTCAATTCGGGTATCTCATCTTTGAAATGAGTAAGTTTAAAAAAGGAAAAATATTAGCTCACGTGAATTTACGGTCGAAATGGTGAGATTTCTCCCAGTTACTTTTTCCAGTGCTGCATTGGTCGGTGGTCAGCGTTCTCTTGGCGATCCTGATGAATATCGTCATAACTGAAAAATTATGTGTGCTACAGGTTTTAATTTTAAACTGCCGGTTAAATGAAGGTATAATGTCGTCAGTGGATTTTCAAGAAATTTTAAGCGCTTCCTCATCCGTTCACTTATAATCATCACTTTGGCTCTGACAAGTTGTTGAATTGGTACCAGCAAGCGCACAGACTTCAACCTACCGGATATTTTTTTCTTATTTTTTATAACTTAACATAGTAGTCAGAACTAATAGTAATCTTTGTTCGTGTAGACAGGGCATAATAATACCTCATACGTTTCAGTAATGTGTTATGCTTGTGCTAGAGGAAAGTTCAAAAATAAAAGATATTTAAAATTTTCATGACTTGACTAGATATGACAGGTTATGTTTGTCAGCTGATCATGCTTGTTAGTTGGAACATTACGGTATAATCATTGTTTTTAATGATAATTTTGGAATTAAGA